CGACGTTTCGGAGGCAACACAAGCTTCCGTCTTCAGGTGGAACAGTCACAGCAGAATAGCAGAATAGCTATTCCACCTGAAGACGGAAGCTTGCGTTGCCTCCGAAACGTCGTGATTTAATTTAGTTGTTTTCATTTTATGTTACCTACGTGACTTTACCGAAAAACCAAAGAGTATACTTCGGGAAAGACTTTGACCGATAAGGGACAAGCAATGCACAATTCATTGTGTGGTCTTCACTAAACCATTTTGCCACCCTGCATGTATTTTTTTGGAAATTCAACTTGTAATGGATTATTAAATGAACGTTTACCACTGATATGCGTGTCATTCCTTTTCACCTGTCATCATAAACACACCGCACCATGCTACGGAGGGTTGGCTGCGGCCATTCCACGCATTTGTAAATATTGTCAGACTTTATACAGTTATCATAATGCAGCATCATTTTCCATTTTACATTACACTCTCAAAAGACAAGAAACAACAGCTTGCCACTGTCCTCATGAATAATTCGATACATTCATTAGTAACACTGTGGCCTTATAAGATAACGATACAAAGGGCGGCGTTTCGTGCATTTCCCCTTCCTCATAGCATGGCAAGTGTGTGGTGAAGAAGGAGCATTGCCTGAATCGTTTTTGACGAATCCGAGTCTTTTTTTGGTCATTGTGCTCATACACCGCTGCCAAATGCAGCTTCGCCAAATAATTTGCTCTCCTCGTGAGCAGTTGTTGTTGTAACGTTCTTACCTGCAGTTTTAAGCGAAAGTTGAAGAGGTGGGGCGGGGGGAAATTGGGTGTGGTGCGTCTTATAATCCAGTGTCAGATTTGTCTAACTTTGTTGACGCGGGGCACAAGTATGGTGTGGGTTGTAATTTCTGAAGGGTGTTATGATCCGGACACTATGGCCAAAGCAAAAAAATACCCACGTGAGCACGAGGTTTGGTCAAAGCCCAATCACTTTGCGATTTTGACTGAAATGGCATTAACAGCGGTTACAATTTCATTAAAGGCGCCTTTGCTTATTGAAACTCACCCCGAGTTTGGATCAAAAAGTTGCCACACCCTGTAAGTGGCTGGCTGGCAGAACATTAGTCACGGGTGGCTTAGTGACACGTGCGCACGATTCGAAAGGACAGCTTAGAGTGTTGTGCGTTTTAACGTATTATTAGCACCGGAGTAATATTGGTTGTTACATTGGTCCGTGTTTATATTACCATCATAAAAGAAGCCACCATCTGCATATGGAGTCAAGATCGCGTTTGTTCAAGCGAGGATGACGGCGCTGCACGTGACTTCACTCGCCGCTGGTCTGGTTGTGTCTGATGGCACAGACCTTCACCACCGGATCAGATCCATTGGTTTTTAGCTGACTTGTGTCTACACGTTTCCTCTGCTTGTTCACATGAGCGGGAGAAAGTCTCTTTAATTGCAGCTACACATCACTCAACTATCTCATTCTCTTCTTCTTCGTACGGCTGATGTTGCCGTAGAGCAGCAGCTATGGTTTTACGTGCAGGTGGTTGAGCCGGATGGTTGCGTCAGGAGCAGCGGAGTGGTTGCGTCGCTGTGATAATGCCTCTTCTTCCGTGTTGGTGAATCGGGCATCGAGTCGCCGTAGGTCCGGTGCTCTGTTCTCGTCGCGAGACGATGCGGGGAAGAGGGAAGAGGCCTCGCCCAAATGTTTAATAGCTCGTGCCCGACGGAAGTCATTGCTCATGTCTGTCTCCGTAGGTCATTGAGGTTGACTGGAGAATGCACGAGATGTGACGCGTGGGAAGATGCTTGAGTGTCATGGTGCATGTTTATCAGTGGTATAGACCATATGGAATTTCCTAGTCTGGGGAAAAGTTCCGTTTCTGACGTATGCACGAGAAAATCCTCGTGCAAGAACTCACCGTAAATATATTTATTTTCCTGATATCAGCATCCTCTACTTTTAATAGCTGCAAAAGTTTCAAGTTTAATTTGTTGAACCAGGAAAGAACTCAAGAGACCAGGATCGAGGCTCACTTACAAGAGAGAACTGGGTCACCAAAGTGACTAAAGCGGTAACATAACAACTTCGTACAACCATGAAGCGAATAGAAATCTCAGCAAAAACAACCACGTCACAGACAAAATCGAAACTGGTGCACAAACAATCAATATAAAGTAAAGTACATTCCCTGTAACCAAGGTTTAACAATTGTTTACGTAAGTTTCTCTTTGCTTCCACAGGTTTTCACAATTATTTCTTAATCCCCCCCCACCCCAAAAAAAGTAGCGTGCAGTGGAATAATTTTTATAATTCCACACATTTTTGTAGTTCAGCGGCGAGTTTAATTGCATGAATAAAAAGTGTTTCCATCAACTTGGTTCGGTGCAAACAGTGAACTTCTTACCGCAGCAGTCCGTCAGAAACGTCTTTAGTTTCACAGGTAAATAACATTGGCACAAGGAAACGAAAGTGTTTAACCGAATGGGTTTTCAGTGCATGCATATATTTTTGTTGTTGTTGAAAAATGCTTATTTACGTATATATATTTTTGAAGAATCCCAGTTGAAAGTAAATTGATCAATATTGTAAAGCGCGGTCAATCGTGAAACTATAGACGGTGGGTGTACAAAACGACACAATGCCGATTGTTGTCGCTGTGTGTGTGTGTGCGTGCATGGTGGGAAAGGCTGCGAGCTGCCTGCAGGCTCTGCTGCATGGAGTAATTCACGTTTTGGCGTTTTGACGGCACTGCACCACAGCTGACGGGCGTGGACTTGGTGTTCGCCCACGCGCACAGGCGGCACCGGGCGTGCGAACCTGCGTCCCTTCCCACTTCTTTAGAACTGCTTTTCGTGTAAAGTCCTTCCCCTCCTGCGCCTCCGATTTAGCGCGATTGGCTACGTACGGTGCGGAAGAAGTTCAACGTTTACGCCGTCGTTATTCCGAGGGTCTAAAACGGGGGCGCGTTGCAGCGCCCGCCTGTGCCCCTCGCTCCCTCATCTCCCCCCTTCACCGTTGCCTCTGCCACGACTCCGACATTACGGACGGATAGATGAATCGGTGTTCCTGAGCCGCCTCACGTCGCATTCCGCAACGTTAGGTGCATCTTAATATTTTGTACGAAGATCATATCATTCAAGGGCTCCCCTATATCCTCCGCACCGCTTTCCTGACAACATCGCTCGCAGGAAAGGGGCACGAGCCGCTCCTCCTTCCCAGCGAGTTCACGTCCGGCCAATGGGACTTGGTGGCCTTCGTAGGTGCCCCAGGAACGGCCCTGACCCCACGACCAGGGCCCTGGTGACGTGCGGTGACGTGTGGTGACCTGTTTAGCGTGCCGTGTGCAACTTCACTTGGTATCGCAGTACATGCGTAACCTTTGTGTACTCCGGGTGGGCCAGGTTCTCGGCGAGTCCGAGTGCCTAATCGTCGGGTGTGTTCCCAGCACGTCTCGTGTCGACAGCGCCGAGGTCTCGCTCCCTCCTTGCCGCCTCAAGGCAAATCAAACAATAACGCCGTGAAGCTGCTCGTAGCGTGGAGGAGGAGCAGGTGCACGCCACTAAACTTGTGGCTTCGTGCAAGCATTGGGGGCGGGCCTAAGCATGAGTCATTTGCAAGTTATGCCAGAGGACCCGGTTATTGAAACTTGTTAATAAAAACCGAATGTCCTTTTGGAAGTGAGCAGTGCCGCGGTGCAGGCCCAGCGTTTACACATCGGCGGCATTCGCGAGCAAAGTAGGGCATCGGCGATGGCAACTTCTTTTGCTTCTCCCCTTGCTCATATTCATGATCGTGAGTTAAAGTCACCCAGGGGGGGGCACGCGATGGTGGCCGATGGTCGAGGTTTCGTAACGGAGCGGCAGCCAAGGAGCGGAACGCGGCGTCCGAGGGAACGTCGCCCGCAGGGGAAGAGACGGAGTGGCGAGAATCGGTTCTCGTGCGGGCGCTGAATGGAGCTTGCCGTAGGCCGCAATAAATTCACTTTTGCAAACACAAAGGAAGTGATTAATTTGAAACAAGTTGATAAATGAATGTAACATTGCAACACTTGGTTTTGCACAACAGTTGTATGCACAATCGACGTTGGTTTGGGGAATTGTGCAGAGGTGCCAATAGACCAGATGGTTACGTAAATCTGAAGTTCATAATGATTCCTGGGACCAGACCCAGATGCAATAGAGCGCTCTTACTGCACAAACCTTCAGGTAGTCGACCTGACTCAAGCGGCAACTCCTTACATCGAATTGGATTGTAAAGCACACACCTGGAATGAAAGTGCGTATCAGTACGAGTGTGTTTGTGTGTTTTGACTGTGTGTTTTGAGAGGTGGTGGTATCTGCCGGTCACCTCGGTTCAGTCAACCGATAGCACCTGGTTCTGTCCCTTGACCTCCTAGCAGCAGTGAGCCTTCGATACTTCACATGGCCTCAAAGTGCACCTAGCCTGGCACAAGTATCGTGGTGATGTAACCACCACTTAGTGGCAAATGGCAGCTGTTGTATTTGTGTTAGTGTAGTAGTTGGCACACTATGCTAATAACCTGGCAGCCTCAGTTCGATTCCTGTTCATGGCTAACATCAGTGACGAATATCCGAATAGGTTCTGGGCCTCAGCTAGGTCGACTCGGCCGTAATAGTACCTGGTACATCGTGTAGATATCGATAATGTAGAGACAAAGGTGGCCGAGTGTGTTCTTGACTCCGTGCATCGTCTTTAATAGGTGCTCGCTACCAGCACTTGCCCCAACAGTCTGAAGGCCCTCTGGGTATAATTGTATACCTCGCCACATGCGTATGACCGTGTCTTTTTTGAGTGTGCTATTTTTTGTTATTTTATCCAGAGACCCCTCTGCTGCTTATCCAACCACAGTTTCAAGTTTTGTTGAATAGACAAAAGTATTTTCATGACAACACGAACAGGCGACGTTCTACGCCCGTGAGACGAAAAAAGTTGTGTGTTTTAGTTATCAACAAATAACCTCGACCAAAACATCGCCGTTGGTGTCCCGTGTGTTTCAGGAGGAGGAGGCTGGCCCGTGGATTGACTGCCGTGCGGTGGGAGGAGCGGCGCGAGCCCCCGACGAGGAAGGCGCCTCGTCCCTCAGCCGGGTTTGGTGTCCGCACCCCGTCCCTTGACGTGCGCCGCCGCGCCTCCTCCTTGCCAAACCGCAATCATCTGGTCGCCTGGGCCAGGGAGAAGCGGGCGGGGGAGGGGGGCCGAGTAGGGTTAAGCGTGCGGTGCGCTTGAATGCGGCCACGCAGCGGAGCCGAGCGCACGCCGAGAGCCGCGGTACTCGCTCAACCAGTTTTGGCAGCCGAGTTTTTCTTCACCTGGTGTTTTTTTTGTTATCACTTCTCAACAATATTAATTTAAACTTTTCGGCAAAGTAATTCCGCGAGCATGCGCCGCGCGCGCACCTGATGTGCCCCCCGAGGGACGCGGAGGTCGCGACGCGCACAGCGCCGTTCGTGCGGAGGTGGGGCGGGGAGCGGCCCGGCGCCGACCGTCTGGCGGGGGAGCCATGCGCAAGCTGGCGGCGCCGACGCCGCACCTCCCAGGGGCCGCTTGCGGCCCCTGGGAGCCGAGAGACGGCTTCACGGTGAGCGGCGGGGGCGGCCGCGCCGCCATCCTCGGCGGCTTTGAACGTGCCGAGGAGTTTGGCGTCCTGGGCCCGGGGGCGCCCTACGGAGAAGAGGTGTGCGAGGAGTGCGGGCGCGAGATCGCCTGCGCAGATGACGTTGGCGGGAGCGGCAGTGCCCGGCTGTGGTTCGACGACGACGACGACGACGAGGAGGAGGAGGAGGAGGAGAGGTATATCGAGACGATGTGCCTGCGGCGGCAGGGCAGTACCAACGATGAACTCTTAGAGGGCTCCGACTGTGTGAGCGCGAATGGGATGTCGCCTGCGCGGTCCTGCTACGGAGATCCGAGCGTTTACCTCGACGATGCTGTGGACACGGAAGGCGACGCTTCCTCTCACCCCGACTTCTACGATGGCGGCATCTCGTCGTGCGGCGACGTTCCCTGTGCCGTGGACGCCTTCGACATCCACCCTGGCGGGCGACGTGCCAAAGCGACGGCCCGCATCGCCGACAGTGCGCACGTTTACCAGGGCCGCGCGAGCGACACGCTCAACTCGGGCTCTGGCTCGCGAAGTGGAAACAGCTTCTCCGACTACGGCAGCGCTGACGAGTCCCCCTGGCCCGGACACACGTCGGTCCGCGAGTTCCGCTCCGACTCGGACGCAGGGGCCTCGGAACAAGGCCAAAGCTACACGTGCTTCTTCCTGGTGAGTTCCAACGATCCGCCGAGCACCGCGGAGGCCCTGACGCCCGACGGCCCGGGCCGCGCCGTGAGAAGCGTCCCGTCGACCGATTCCGCGAGCGATAACGCCCCGCGCGACGGTACCGGCCACGCGCCGCTAAAGCCTTGCCGCAGCGTGGACGATCCCGCTTGCTCGCGGCCAAGGCTGCGGGCCGCGAAGAGCGCCAACGGCGCCTGGTGGACTTCTCTGGATTCGTCTCCAGCCGAAGCCTCCGTGGTCCGGGAACATTTCCCCGCTCCTACCGCCGGCACTGTCGGACCGCGCTCCCGAAGGAGCGAGCGCGACGATGCGGCGTCGCCACGCTTGGCCGGCGTTCGTCAACGGGGTGGCGGAAGCGCCGCGCCTACGCCCGACGGCGAGGAGCGCGGGCGAGAGCGCCGGCCGTCTCCCGCAATGCACCGTAACGCTGGCTTCCCCCATCAAAATATAATGGCCCTTCATTGCCATCATCCTGCAGAGTCCGTCTCCGAGCCGGTGCTACACATCTCCAGCCAGGCCGACGGCGACCACCTTCCGCTGCAGCTCTCGGTGAGCTTCGATTCCATACCGTGCCACTCTCCTCTGCAGGCTGTCCAGTGGCCCACGAACGTCACCGCGTCAGGTCACTCGGCCCTGAGGGCTTCCCTGAGCGAAGGTCACGACCCCAACGCGTCGGTTACGGACCACCGGCTCGGAGACTGGAGAAACCACCCGTTTCACACGAGGCCCAGCGCGGCCACGTGCTACTTCCGTCGCCCCTACGGCAGCTTGCATCTCTACGACAACGACGATTGCCCCGAGGACGAGGACGAGGAGGATGACGATGACGGAGTCGGTTACGGGAGCTCCAGGGCGGCGCTGCACCGCGCCAGTGCCAAGCTGCTGTGGCCCATGTGGCAGAAGCAGGAGAGAGCGGGGCGGCGCGCCAAGGAGCAGGCCGACGGCAGCCTCGTCCGGAGGGACGTGACGTCGCCCGCGGCGCGCGAGCGCGGCCGGGCGCAAGCGTCGACCCGGCGGCGCGATCCCGCCGGGCTTCTGACCGAAGCCGCGACGCCAGAATGGACGAGAGAGGAGCGGGAGGGGGGAGCGGCTCCGTTCAGGCTCAACGGCTCCAAGGGCGACGACGGCGGCGGCGGCGGCGGCGGTGGGGTCTGCTGCGACGGGAGGCGGCGCAAGGCGAGCTCTGCGGTGCTGCTGCGCCGATACCGGCGTGGCGGATTTGAGGTGAAGAAGTCTGTGTGCCCCGGCTGCTGGGACCGCTGCGGCTGGATGGCGGCGGCGGCGGCGGCGGCGGCGTCGTACCGGCCCACGGGCCGCTTCGGCGGCGCGTGGCACTCGACGTCGCGCCCGCAGCCCTGTCGCAGGAGGCGCCTCCTGCATCTGCACTATTATCGCAAGCACAACTCGCTTGGGGCCCATGGACATCTCCCAGGCAGCTTCTGGAGCGAGCAGGGCCCAGACGGAGCGCTGAGCATCCTGCTGTGCATCCGGAGTCTGGGGCAGGGCTGCCCCTTGAGAGAACACAACGTGAAGGTAAGGACTGCACCCTGCACCCCTGCCCTCTGCCCTCTGCACCCTGCACCCTGCCCCCTATCCCCTGCACTCTGCACGCGGGCTGTTGCGCCTGGCATACTGCACAGGAGACACGCAAGCTCTGCGCCCAGCATCTTGAGCCTGATGAGCCAGGCCCCGCTGGCTAGCCGTGTCGCCGTGGCGATGGGCGATTTGCTCTCGTCTCCTCTTGGTGCCGAGGTCTGCCTTGGTAGAGCTTGAAAAATACCGCTCGGCACACTTGAAACGCCGTGTCAGGGACTGCCTTGGCAGCGCTATTTCGTTATAAAAAGCATTTGTCATCACATGGGTTTCATTAAGAAGTAGCAGAACTGTTTGTCGTCCTGCCCTTATTCAAATACGCCGAGCAATTTGGCATCTTGAAAAATATAATCTATTCCCTGTCATGGCTACTACCGGTGTCGTGCACTGCAATTCATCGTATTTACGATGTCCTCCGAATCGAGTCACAACTCTCACCGGAGCACGAGATGGAACCCACCGGGGGGAAGGGCCTGGCGGTGCAATCTCTCAGCAAGAGCCCTCAGCGCCGTGGTGCAGTCAAACGGCCATCGTCGACCGCACGGCGTGGCCAGGCCCTCATCCAGCAGTGAATTGAAAAAGGGCTCTTCTCTTCTATTCCTGCGTATGGCAGCAATACGTTCAGGAGGTGAATGCCATTGTCGAGGTCTGCTGCTGGCCACAACGAGAGAGGGCTTCAGGAGAGAGACGGTTCATGTTGTTTTGCTGTTGTACCTCCACCATTGAAGGAGCGCAGGCTATGGTCATTTACTCTCTGGTCCACAGTTTGGGTTTCATGGCCACAGTGGCACTGTGGCTTGTGGCTTTCAATTTACACTCATGAAGGAGACGTTAGAATCAGCCGGTGGATGTTGCGATACCAGCGGGCATGCGATATTTGAATCTCGAATGAGGCGTCTATTCTTCAACTTCCTCGCTGTTGCACTCTGTCCGCCAGCGTTCACTTTGAGCAGAATGTACCGTGAATTAAATTCAATGATTGTCAGACTGTTCCTCGACAATGTTTTATGGAGTCTGGCTTCACTGCCTTTGACCAGAGGTTGGGGTGATGATAGCTCTGGGCGTCTGGCGTTTGTTATTTTGGGCAGACAGGCAGACAGGCGGTCCGGCACGGGGGGGCGCGTTAAGGCATCGGCTGGAAGGGTCTAACATGAGTACAACAACAACAACCGCCATTCGCCACTAAGTGGCGGTGACGTCACCACGACGCTTGTGCCAGGCCATGTGCACCTCGAGGCCACGAGTACGAGCACACCGACACACGTGCTCAGGTTTGACCGCAGCCGCTGCTTGCTCCACGTTGTGCTGGCGCACAGCGCAGGGCATCTTGCAAGGACACGCAGTCGCGCGGTGCAGCGGACCGCCCCTCTGCGATAGCACGGAGATACCACACACGTCGAGACCATGGCTGTACAGCGGGACACGGCATATAGCCCGCTCTAAAGCACTTGCTTCGACGCAGCGTTAAGGCCGCACGAGAGATCTTCATAGACCGGTTCCCCAGTCTTGAGACGACCTCCCGGTGCCGATTGGCGGTCCCCCCCCCCCACTCCGTGTTCGAGAGGGCAAGTCTCAGCGTGGAGCTGTGCTGGGAAGACACTAAACATGCGTGTATTTGCTCGCACGCACAGATAAATATCGGCCAGTTAATGACCCTAGACATTCTGTTGATCAGTTGAGTTCATAAATGTACCATTTACCACATCCTCCTGGCAAAGGGTGATAGTTTATTTATTAAATCCCCCCCCCCACCCCCCCTTCTGTCCACCAAGCGGTGTAATTGGGCAGGCACCACGGCCACCGTTAGGTCAGCAGGTCACGTGCACTCACGTAAAGTTTGTGTGTTGCCACTGCTTCTAAGACGACTGGCCCGTGAGGAAGATTAGGCCAACGATGCCCCTTTAAAGGGGTTCAGTAGAGCTCACTCGAGCGGGGAGGCCCTTCCACCAGCAGTGGCATGGGCGAGCACTTGCGGCGGCTGCACCTTTACCTCTCGCCTGCATGTTCTGTGGCCCTAAGAACGTTGAGAGGCACACACAAGTGGAAGACAGAGGTGCACGCAGGGTGAGTGCAGGGTGTGCGATAATATACTCATTATTAACTAATGATTTCTCTAAAAATCGCCAGGTGTGGGTGTGAGCTGGGCCAAGGCTGCAGTCTGGCAGTGGTGCAAACTCTCTCTCCCCTAGCAACCCCGGTGTTTGTGTGAAAAGAAAAAAAAACGCTACAATAACAGCTAAAATAACAACTGGATGCCGGTGGTTTTACGTGCCAATTAATCAGATGTGGGGGCTAATGGTACTGGAGTTTCGTTCAGAAACGTGACCCAACTTTGGAAGAGCGGAGTGAGTTTTAAGGGAGCGTGCAGGCATGTTGAGGCGGTTACAGACGCGTGAGGGCGAGGTTTCAACATTTCTGGAGCGTGTGACACACCACACATTTCTACAACAGAAAGAGCTGTGCGCTCTGGTGCATGCTGGGTAATATCATTGAATGGACTGCCTGAGGGTCCACGGGGTTTGGCAGATAATGCCCAGATGCAGGCAACGCTGAGTTCCTGGTTTCGCACTCGGCTCCCGCAGCGTCTCTCCACTCGCGCACACGCGAGATGCTTGCCACAGACGCGCATCCAGCTCTCGCCGGCTGCCTCCCCGGGTCGTTACCGCTTGCATTTCATGCGCCGGGTTTGCTTCGTCAGGATCCTCGAACCGGCTCCCGGCCTGTGCCGCTGTAAATCCGTTGCCAAAGAAGCTCCCCGGCACGTGGTGCGAAACGTCGACCGTCGTGCCCTGAGAGCGCGTGGCACGACACGGAAAGGCAGCGGGGGGGCTGCAGAGCGCACGCAGCTCGCTGCTCCTCGCCAGGCACTGGCTCGCTCTTGACATAATGTCACGTGTTGTTGATCATTGAACATTCCTTTCAGAGAGGTGTTGGTTTTTAATATTTGGAGTCGGTTCGGGAATGATGTTAAGGAGTTGATGTGTTTAGGAAAGGGGAGTGGCTTCTGTTTGTTTTAATTGGCAGGAAAGTTTTTGTTGTTTCTTGGGGAGGGAGAGGCCATGGGGTTTTGAGTTCATTAAATGCTCCAACCGATTTGGAACTTCCCAGCTGACGGCTGGAAGTTAAATTGGCCTCAACGAGTAACGTGCCGGCGTTTCTCCTTCCCAACGTTTCCCAATATTGTTTGCCTTGCTTCTTATGAAAGGAATAATGTTTATTTTGATTAAATGAATATTACGTGTCCAGGTCATAACGCCGGATTATTTTCCGATTAGAATGTTTGCAATCTAGTCTTTCAATAAGATTTCAAATCCATTATTTTTACTTGAGTAAATACGCTCCGCAATGCTGGCAGGAAGACGCATGATGACATGCAGAAGCGTGCACAGTTTGGGTGTTGCTCTGGCAACGAGCGAACATGGGACACATGGTATGTGCGTGCGTGTATGTATGTATGTGCGTGCGTGTATGTATGTGCGTGTGCCTGGTGGGGAGATGTGGTGTCGTGGTTAGCGAGCTCTGCTACGAACCCGGTGACCCGAAGTCAATTCCCGCTCATGAGCAACACCAGTGACGGTTTCTGAACTGGTCCTGGGCCTCCGCAAGATCGAATCGGCCTCGCATGAGAACCTGGTGCGGTGTAAACATCACCACTAGGGAGACAAAGGCAGTCGGGCGTGGTGCTGGTCACCCACCTCCTTGTGTACCGTTATGGCCTTCATAGGTGCTCACTAACAGCACTTGCCCCAAAACTCTCTTTGTCTTGGTGTGCGTGCGTGGGCATGTCGGCCCTGAATAACCGTGTGCACGTTTCTTCATGTGCACGTGTCAAAATGTAAACAAAACTTACCATTTTGTCAAGTGCCGAACGGAAAAGAAAAGGAGGATTCTTGAACGCAGCTGAGCAAGCCTTTGAATGTTATGCACTCGTGTGTGTGCGTGTGTGTGTGTGCGTGTGTGGTTTCTATTGGCACTCCACAGTTTAGCCCCACATCCTGTAGGCTATACAAGAGAGACAGAGGAACCTGGCAAAAGGTAACCAAGCTCAGGTCCATGCAGCGTGGAACACAATCTGAAGAGCGTGCAGAGAATCATTACACCTATCATATTCGGGAAGAGGAACACGTGGGTTAGAGAACATCCACAAGTTGTGAACGTCACGGTGACTCTTTAGAGAGGTCCGTGGCTTGAACCAGACGGGACAAATGGCCGGTGGTCGAGAGCGACCGAGGAATGACGGAACGACGGATCATTGCGTCGTGAGGCTGTGAGAGGTGACGACGGCTTTGGGAGGCCTTCATCCAGCAGTGGATAGGTTCGATGGCGATTTCTCCGAAATGCAAAGTGGTTGCGCAATAAGGAAACGACTGTGAAACCACTGAGTATTTGTTGTAAAACAGCAAAGCGCTTTAATACGATCAAGCACGATCCTGCCATTGATAGTTTCAATTGGCGTCAGGAGTTCACTAAAACCCATCATTCTTCTGGTGTTTATAAAATGCGTACCACTTTGTGGGATGTGCTGTGGATTGGATAGGCTCACAAACTGCTTTTTGTGTCTAGTTTGTTGTCCTTCCCCCGCACATTCGATTAGCACGTTTGGCTACGTAAGGTGCGAAATAAGTTCTACATACATACAGCTTGTCATAGGAATGTGGCGTTTTCACCACTGGCTCAGGCATTCAATGTAGTACATTTGACTCAATCAATTCGATGAGTATTAGTGCCTCATCATTTGGGAAATACATCGCCTTCTGTTGCTGCTGCTCCACAGTTTGAATAAATATGCATTGCTGTATGCACAAGGGGGTGAAACATTGGTCTAAGGCATAACCTGAAACTTGGAACTTGGAACTGTTTGTGTATACGCGACTAGACCCTGCACTGCTGCATGTAATATTGCAGCATTCCTGCTGTGGGTGGTTGTGTGAAGCAAATGA